TGAGCCCAGAGTTTGAGGCTATAGTAAGCTTTGATCACGTTGCTGCACTCCAGCAAGGGCAATAGAGCGAGACCCTGTCTCCAAAAATAGATAAATAAAATGTGATATCAATCAAAACACCAACATTTATTTACATATAATCTGCTTTTATAATTTATATAGATGATCAAAGGACCAAGAATAACCGTGCCCAATGTGATATCAAGATTTATTATAAACAATTTGGGATAAACAAATTGACCCGTGGATCATATTAGAAAGCCTATCAGCAAATCCATGCATATGTGGAACTTGCTTAAAAATAGAGGTTTTACTGCAAGTCAGTTGAACGGGAAAGGGGGACTACAAAATAAATGCTACTGGAAGAACTGGTTATTCATATGGAAAAAAATTAAACTGGAATTTTCCCCATACCTCATAATATATACAATTTTATTCTGGATGAATTAAGGATGTTAAAACCTTTAGCAGAAAATATAGATTACCTGCCAAAAATAATTAGGAGCTCTCTCATAAAAAAAAATATTAAAGGAGTAATATATTCAAAGTGCTAAGGGAATTAAACACCTACTTAGAATAATTCAATTACCTATCAAAACTGTCTTCCAATAGTAGCAGTGAAATAAAAACATTTTTCAACAAAAATCTACTTACCCTCACAGAAGGAAGTACTATAGCAAGATAGAAAGTAAACCTAGAGGTAAGGAGTAGAATGCAACAAACAACAGCAAACATTCAAAAGGTACAAGTTGATGTATTTCTTCACTACCAGCTATAGAACAAAAATCTGTATTTTGTACTTGAAAAAATTGATACAAATTCTCTAAAGTAAGTATAATAAGGAATATAGGGTCTTAAATGGGCATTTTAAACATTGTATGGTGCTCATGATATTCTGGAAGAGGATGGAGATACTGAAAAATTCATATATTGGTAAGTATGTACATTAAAACTTAAGACAAAAACATGCAAAGAATAGAAATTGCTTAAAGGAAGGAAATAATGATTTGTACAAGTTAGTACTTTATTCCATAGAATATAACCCTATTTTTCATTCTTGTTTTCAATATTTCTTTTTTCTAAGAAAAGGTGAAAAAAATTAAACTTTTTTAAAAAGATGTTCACTAAGATTATCTTTCTTTTGCAAAAACAAATTAAATTCAAGTACAATATGAAGCATTGTTTACTACTCAAAAAATGTAGTAACAAAAATCTTAGAAATGTTTTCTTTCAAGTCAACAATAAGATTATCATTATTTACAATATATTGATGATCCTAGCCAATGCTATAGGAGAGGAAAAATAAATTAGTTTCAATAATTGAGCTAAAGGGGCGCAAAATTTTACTATCTGCAAATGATAAGAAACCTATATGGAACATATAAGGAAATCTATAAAAAATATTATTAGAATAAATGGAGTTCAACACAACTGGATTTTTAAAAATTTCAACAAAATCATTAGCAATAAGTGGCTGAAAATTTAAAAGATTAATATAGCAAGAACAACAAGGAAGTAAACAAGAATGAATATAATAAAAGACATGTAAAAATATAGGAAGATAATTACAAAATATTTTTAAAGTCCATGAAAGATCTGAATAAACAGATTGAGATCCTGAATTCAACGTGAGAAAAGTGAAAGCCATAAAGATTTTAATTGCTCTCATTTATTTTATGAATACAATTCAATTCCTATCAAAATTTGAGCAGAGGTTTTTTCAAGGAATTTTATAAATTGATTCAACAAACCACAGAAATAAGCACAGTGGCAAGAGTATCCAAAACAATGCTGATGAAGAAAGCAAGACTTGTTGATGAATTGGATGTGGAAGAAGAAAAAGATACAAAATAAAATCCACTCTCTTGGGCTCAATAATTAATAAGCTCATATTTCATGAAGAAAACTAATAAATTTCAGCTGTTGCTAAATAAAGACAAAGTAAGCAAGCTGCCTATAGTAAACTACAGTCTCTGCTCAGATTGGCTACCTTGTCACTCTGCAAAAGGGAGATTGGGATGCAGAGGTCACTGAGACAAACAGAGAGGTCTTCCGAACTATAACTCAGATGCATGAGTGAGGGTCTGGACTTCATGGCTTAGGAGACCCTCATCAGCCCAGAGAACTGAGATTTTTAAAAGCCTCAAAAAGCCATCCCAGGGAATTTTCACTAAACATCCTGCATTATTTACTATCTCTTGGACGCTAATTTCTTCCTCCTTTGAAGTTGCTGATGTATTTGCCAATGAAAGCAGATTCAAGGACAGTCACAGGATTGGACGGACAAGGTTTTTGTTTTAAGAATGAGGCAGAAGAGAAGGGGACATGGAAAAAGTGAAAAACCCAGGCCCTCCAACACACTTCGGAAAATAATGACTTTTTCGTCTTAATTCCAAACAAAATGTAAATCAACAGAGATCACAGGTGCACTAATGAAGAGTTCTTCAAGTGGCGTGCCTTCCTGTTGCCTTTCTGAGCCTCATAGACACACAGAAGGAGGAAGGAAGAAAGTGATTTACACTGGTTTGCAGAATTTGATATTCCTCCGAAGGTAATTGTGTGGCTCTTGATAATTCAGCAGTTTAGATTCATCATGACATTTCTTTTTCAAGGGCTATCTCAGTTCCTCAAATAGATCTTTATTTTACCACTCACACATTCAAGGATGAAAAATGTGTCTCGCTGCATTAAGTTAAATTACCTTTAAAACCTGCAGCTTTGCTTCAAGCTCTGTTCTTTTCAGAATCATTGTTCCATTAAGAGTCTCTATCCTGTTTTAAGAAAAAAAAATAAAAAGAAGAAGGTGGGGAGTGAGTAACATGAGTGATTCATTTAAATAAGTACCATATTATGGAGTACTACACTTTGAGCACATACTATACTAAAAACGAAATATAAATGTTACAGTTCTCATGGCACTTCGAGTAGCTGGACCAAAGCCAAATCTTCTGATAACATTCAGAGAAAGAAAATGGGGGAAAACTCCCCTTGAGAAGGTGGCTATAAGAAAGGATCCTAGTTAATTTGTAAACTATAGCTTATTTTATAGAAGTCACTATGTGACAATGATGGCTGCTCTCTACTAGAATCTGTTCTTGTGAGGATGAGCTGAATGACCTCACTCACTTGGTAAACATTGATTGGGCATCTACTATGTACCAGATTCTAGAAACCATGCTGAACACAAGGGGCACAATAACAGAAACAATAGGCACTAGGGACTTTCACAACCATGGAATTAACATGCTACTTCTTGAAAGAGGGAGAAATCCTTTCCTCCCTAGGATTCTAGGAGCCTTTACCTCTGTAAATCTCCTTATAATTTTGGTACTAGAAGAAAGAGAAGTACAACTACTATGAGATAATAACCTTCATATGATTCTTTCATCTCAAAACATTCAGTTTACAAACTCTAATCCTAGAATTATCGACTTACCAGTGTTCTGTTCTTCCTACACCATACACATTTCTAAAAATAAAATACTGGTTCCATTCTGAGTGATTTGATTTGTTCTGTGTGTTCAAGTTAAAGGCTTTTATTTTGACTACTAAACCATAAATCTGAATATGATTTAAAAATTTCATTTGTGAATCACACACCAATTTTTAAAGTGTTGGTTCAGGTTCCTTCTTGTAATTAAGCTGTAACTCTATAAAGATACAAGGAATTTTTCAAGACATAGTAAAAGCATTAAATGTGGAGATCAGTTTTCCTCTATTTCTAATAGCATCGTGCCAGGGATAATCAGGTGGTAGCAAGCCAAATGCTCTCTGTTTTCTCCTTAAGGTGATGTTGACTCTCTGAGAAATAACAGGAATCCATATGAATCTGTTTCATTGGGATTGAATGTCAATTTGACCTGCTGAAGCAATAGATGTGTATGGGCAAAAGTGCAACCATTGATTTGGCCATTTTGCTCAGTATTTGCACAGACTGTCTCCCATTTTCCTGAATTTCCAACAGTTACCTCCATCTACCACCCCTATTTACCTATGGTCTACCCTCTTCACCCATGTGGAACATGCGTTCTGACTCTAACCACCAGCAGTTCCCCTCAGACTCTGCACGGTTCCTCTCCTTTGGATCCAGGGTTCTCTAGAGCAAGAACGCCTCATCTTTTACCCTGAACTCACAGGACCTATAGAGTTGGACTCAATTCGTTACCACCACCATCTTTCATATCTACTCTTACAAACACCCAAAGCATCCTTTGAAGTTTTAGACCAGAATCACTGAAGAGCATCCAGCAGATTTTCTACTGGCAGCTTCCAAGGAGCATCCATAGCTGAAAAGGACAGATCCTGGCATCCAGAGCAGGTGGTCAATTCCCAACCCTATCACTTACTGGTTATGTGACCTTAACTAAACCCTCTCTAAGCTTCAGGCACTTCATCTACAAATAGGAATAAAAAACCTCACAGGTGGCTGTGAAGAATAAATGAGACAACATAGGACCACCTCAATCAGAATAAAACTCAAACTTGTTGGCATGACCAAAGAGATCCATGTTCTGTCCCCAGGCCAACTCTCTGGCTTCATTTCTTATTACACTTTCTCTAATCCATCAACTACCAATTATACTGCCTTTTTTTCTTTCCCTTGTACATGCCAAGCCCATTTTGAGAACTCAGAGACCTCTCTCTTTGCCTGAAGTGCTCTCACCAGGAGTTCATTTGACCATCCTTCTCTTCATTTAGATCTCAACTCAAATATCGCCTCCCCAGAAAAGACCACTTTACACATCTAAGCCAAACTAGCAGCCTCCTTACCCAGCATGACAGGCCATTGCTGTTTTGTACTTTTCTCATAGTAGTTATTAATAACTGAAATATAAACATTACTTAAATTTCAGGCTTTTCTGAGCCATTTCCTTCCATAATTATTAACGTATGAAGAGAGTCTTTATCTTGGTCTCTCCTGAGCCTATCACAGAGCTGGAAACATAGTATTTGCTCAATAAATATGATTTTAATGAATGAGCAAATTTCGTCATTTAACTATCCTAATAAGATTTTATTAGGTGCTAGTATTGTTATGGTAGAAAAATCAGTCAGACCTCTAACTGGGAAAGCCACTGTTCTATCAAGAAGTTTGGGGCCGGGCACGGTGGCTCATGCCTGTAATCCCAGCACTTTGGGAGGCCGAGGCGGGCCGATCACGAGATCAGGAAGTCGAAACCATCCTGGCTAACACGATGAAACCCCGTCTCTACTAAAAATACAAAACATTAGCCGGGCGTGGTGGCGGGCACCTGTAGTCCCAGCTACTCGGGAGGCTGAGGCAGGAGAATGGCCTGAACCCGGGAGGTGGAGTTTGCAGTGAGCCGAGATCGCGCCACTGCACTCCATCCTGGATGACAGAGCGAGACTCCATCTCAAAAAAAAAAAAAGTCTGGAATATTTGGAACACATGGTGTGAGTATGTGTGTTTCAGGGTGGGGAGGGTTGAACAGACTATTCTTCCTTTCCAAATGGAACACTAGAAGAGAAAAACAGGTGGCTTGTCACATAAGAGGAAAAACTCAGCCCTTCTGACCTTTTATTTGTTTTAGTTACACAGGATTATATTAACCATGAAAATTGGATCAGTTCCTCCCAGTTTAAAGAGAATGTGTGCCAGTTTAATTGAATTTAACATAAAAAAATACATTTTAAAGGCCATCCTTCCCACACAGACGTTTGGGCTATTGATGTCCTCTGACTTCAGATGTTGACAGTATGTTCAAGTGTGAGGAATCTGGAGAAACAAAAGGAACTGATAATGTTTGTACCCCACTCTAAAGCTCCAGTGCACTGCCTCCCCCTGTCTTGTGATGCTGAACAAAAAGCCTATTTATTCACTCATCAGGCATTATGAGAAAACATAACATTTTGAAGCCCCATGGGAACTAGACAGATAGTTACGTTAGCAGGTTTCCAGACGATCTGATCAGGTCAACGACTTGTTTGTAGGTAAAACCTTCTGTGCTCACACCATTGATATTTGCAAGGACATCACCTGGGAGATGCCAAGAAAAATGAGTGTTATGTTGGTTAGTTAAATAATCCCTCCTGACATGCAAATGAAACAAGCAGCTCCAAGTCTTAAAAACATAAAGGAGCCAAGAAAACTCAAAGCAACGAATACATCCTGACCTTCACTCTCAAAACATTTTATTTTCTTTCTATTTAAACGATTCCTAACATGAGCAAAAATTTAAGTTACCAGCTTGCAGGCCAGCACAGTGAGCTGGGCTGTCCTCCTGTATTTTGCATATCAAAGTGAACATTTCCGAGGAGCAGGCATTCTGATTCTGGGGCCTGTAAGACTGTAAAAATTAAGGTGACATATAGTTACTATTTAACAACCTCAACATCTATTTGCCAAAATGTAAAATGATGTCAACTAGCATTAAGCAGTATAACAGGTAAGTCCAAAGGACAATTTGGAAAGGATTTCCGCTATAAACTGAATCAAGGTATCAATTTTGCAATTCTACCAGACAATCTGTAGCCAACTCCATTCATAAAGACATCTGTCATGAGAAAGAAAGTGAAATGAAAGTGGCTCAAGATTTTATATTTTCAAGCCCAAGATATCACCTGATGCTGTCATAATTACATATTTATTTTTAAAAATTGAGTTTCTCATTTCCCAATGGGATAAAACAACGATGGCCAAGTGCAATGAGAAAAATCCCTATGTGGTTCTCCCAAGCTAAAACACTCATTATAGGAGTATGAAATTGTACACATGCAGCAAGGAGACATGCCAACAATGATTATTTTAAATCAGAGTTCTGCACATAATGACAATCTGCCCTGCATTTATTCAAAAGTACTATAATTGACTCAATTACCTTCATTTCTGAGCACCCTCTGGTATGCCTGTCCTGAATCCTCACCGGTTCATTAGTCACCCAACTAAATTAGAAAAAGTTAAGCTTCGACTCTTGCCTCAATTAGGCACAGAAGTTTGGTTGTGTGGGGTTTTTTTATTTTTAATTATACCAAAACACTGAATAAATGTTTGCTAGATATAGTGTCCCAATGACCTATAACAAATATAATTTTCTTTTTTTCACACATTTAAATTATGAAGTCTAGTCCCACTTAGAAGCAAAATCAGTGTTCTGAGTAGGGTACGTCTTTTAAACATCTGATTCGTAAAATTAAGCTACTTTAAAGTACTACTTCCTTGTGAAAAAATTAATGTCTGATGTTCATTCATTCTTATTCAATAATCCCTGAGGCACCACAAGTCAGCCACATGCAAGCAACTTCTAGAAACTTGGGTCTGTTCACCTCTAAAGGAGTTCTATCTAATCTATAAGGCACTTAGAATCCCCATATCTTAAAGGTGAAAGGGACTTTAAAAGATCATGCACTATGTTCCCATCTATGTCAGAAACTTCATTAACAGCTTTCCTGCCAGGTGTCTTCTCAGTATAGCCTAGACCCTTCTGGAGATGAAAGACTGAACTAGTTCATGTGGTACATGAACAAAAGATATAACTGACACTCCTTTGGGAAACCACTGTTCTAACAATTCTCATTAGCAGTGAGACTCTACCCTCCATTCCCAGAGATCAAAGTGAGTACAGTGCAGTGGAAACATGTTGATTTATGTAACTGGCACCTCCATATATGTTCACATTGGGTGTAAAATTTGGTAGTTAGAAATAGAAAAAAAACGGAAACCCCAAAGCTACAGAAAGTATTAACTGGATACTTCTCTCCCTTACCCAGTCTTCTAGCTCCTACTAAGGGATCAGTGACACAATGATCACCTGCATTTCTTAGAGACACAAAGATCTCATTGTCCTTTCTCATGCCCAGTGACATTCATTCTAACACCTGTCATTTGTGGATCTTCTATTGGTACCAGGCACATCACTAGGTATACTGCATGTATTATTTCATTTAAAACTCCTAAGGACCCCATAAGGCAGTCATTGAGAGGATATGAATTCAGGTGTGCATGAGTCCAAAGTCTGCATTCCTATTGGGCTGTACGATTCTCATAAGCAGCATAAAACTAGCTCCCATGGAGAACCATGAATCTGGTCTCTTCCAAAGTGTCATTCCTCTAGTAGGCCACATCCCAAATACGTACTCACACTGCATGCACAATATGAGTACATGAGATTCTATCTGATTTTCAAAAAGTTCCCGGAAGCATGTCTCCTATTTGTTGACTGCTGCCAATCTGATGAGTACTAGGGAATAGATTATGGTGTGTATTTGACAATGGGGAGCATATACCAGAGGGAATTTACAGGGGTGTGGGTTCCCGCATCACTGAGATAACACATGCATGCTGCCATTTAGAGGTGCCCTTAGTTCATGTTGATCTACAAAGGTTCGGTGGTGTTGTGGTCTGACATAGTTTTGACTCTTGCTGCATGAAGAATAAGTGTTTATGGTATGGGAGAAAAACTTAAGGGTAGTGACATATACATATACATATATATATATATGATGTCACTACTCATTGAACAATGAGTAGTGACATATATTATAGCAGTGTAAGAAAAATAAAGACAGGTGGGTAGTCTTTCATCCTGTTTTCAGTAGCCACTGCTGCACATCCTTGAGGATAATTCTCCTTTAAAAAGAGGCAGTGACAAAAAGCAGAGTCTCTGCAACAGAATAGGGAGTAGTTCATATGACTGGGGAATAAGAGGGAGTACTATGCTTCTAAAACCTAATAGATTTCACCAATTACTGTGGTGAATTACAGATTTCACCAAATTTAAAAGTAGAAGAGTTCAGAAAGTGGAAGCAATCCTCTTTTCAAAGTGCCTTCTCTGTCTTCGTTGCAGCTAGAGTTCCATTTTGTTTCTTTACTCATAAAACATGTTTTACTTAGCAGTTTCCTGTTCCTAATCTTAAAATACACGCTGACTTTCCAATTGTGGGGCTGATATCACACCAAAGTTTTCTGAAAGCAGCACTAAAGCTAAGATCTAAAATCTGATATAGAGTGTAAGAATATGATTATGCAAAACACATCCAAAAGACATGCAAACGTACTATGGGGAAAAAAAAAAAACAGAAATGCTTAAGCTACTACTGTCGCACTTAATTGGGTTAGATTTCATTTGACCTACCTCACCCACTTTACAAATGTGGTCATGAAAAAGCAGACAGCAAATAAGCAATGAAATTCTTAGGCAATTATGCTGAAACTTACAAAGACTTAAAAATTTCCTACAGCATGAGGCAATCTGCAAGTAGAGCCAAATGTTCTCAAGTGTTTCAAATAACAATTATAAAGCATTGTCATTAGGAAAAAAAGCTACAAGTTTTTCATCATGTACAATATGAACTCTTTAGCAGCAAAACGCACCAGGAGCTATCCATGAATATATGCATTCCATATACACAGATGTATAGTCTTTCGAGTGTCTCTTGAATGCCAAAGTAAATATTTAAAATCTGATATACAGTATAACAATATGATTATGCAAAACACATTCAAAATGCAAATATATCAAATGCACATCTGTAAAATGTATTTCACTCTCTTATCTAAGACCTGGCTGGTACCAACCATTTCTGATCGGTCTGGGACTTAAGGGAAGACCGAAGTAACTAAGCACAAACTGTTGAACATATCTCGGGGGTTTTATGTTATCATCTTCAATGTTTTCCTTCCTTAATAGTACTCAACACACTGAAAAACTACCCCCAAACAAGCACACACTGAATAAAATCATAGACTCCATCATTCTCTAATCCTAACTTCATTATTTCTTTGCACATAACATGACACTACCAATGCCACTTTCTTCCTTGGAAGTCTAGAAAATGTGAAAACTGCCCACCTGAATTTCAAATCCAAATGTTTCATTATCCTGCTTCTCCACAGTAACAAGCTTTCTGTAATAAAAATGTTTAAAAAAGAAACTGCATGAAAATTAAAGTATCACATTTGGCACAGATTTATCATTAAAAATAACTGTCACAATTAAAAATAACTGACATTTATGTAAATTGTAGTATGTAAGATTCTGTGTGTGTGTCTGTGTGTGTGTGTGAGAGAGAGAGAGAGAAAGGGAGAGAGAGAAAGAAACAGTCTGGAGAGCTGTGTTCCTAAATATTTTGGGAGAGACAAAAAATAATTCAATTTCTTTACCTTTGAGACCAGGAAAAGTCACTTAAAGAACTTGATCTGGTCAAAGCAAGCTGAAAAATACAAAAAGCATATAGTTATCCCAGGGTCTTCAAGATACACTGTAAAATGTTCTAAATCTCTCTCTCTCTCCCTTTCTCTCTCGCTCTCTCTCTCTCTCACACACACACACATATACACACACACACACACACACACACTGACACACACACACCCTGTTCTTTACCACCTTCTTTGGCCCAGCTCCTGGGAAATTGTTGCATAAAGGCAGCCATTTCCATTCTCTACATTCTCTAGTGACAGCAGAGGAGAGGAGGGAGACAGGATTCTAGGCATTCCAATTAAAAGATTGAAAGAGGCTTAGATAGTAATACAATGTGGCAAAAGAGTTAATATAATGTGGCAAAACTCCAAAGCTCCCAAACAGAACTTCCTCTCTCGTCTGTATTTAAAACAGACTCTGAAAGATTAACCATAGCAATTTGTAATCACACTGAAATCCAAAGAAAAATAGCATACGTAGAATGGCATATGAAACCCAAATACTTTATAGTTTTTGGAGATGATGATGAAATGACTGTGTTTACTATAATAATTCAATATGTTACTGTTTTTAGTAGGATAAAATAATCTCTAAACAATCAACTCACACACACAATTCAGGTAAAACCAGGAACTCAAAACCTCATTTCTGCTTATGATTTATTTTTGTAATAGTTTTGGAAGACTGAAGTGAAATTTCCAGCCAAGAAAGGAAAGAAACCTCAGAATAGTATAAATGGTATAAATAATATCACCTTCATTCCTCTGCACTTTCAGAAAAGATCATATAAACATAAGCTTTCAGGACACATTCTACCGCTGTAAACAGAAGCAGCATCAACAAAAGGTGACAACTTATTTTTTAGGAAAATTGCAGCAGGTTTTTGTGTGTGTGGTTTTTTGTTTTTGTTTGTTTGTTTGTTTGTTTCTTTGTTCAGAAAATGTTTATTAGCCCTATTCTCAAGTGTTGGTTCAAGAACCCAACACATAAGCTCCTAGCTAACCCAGGGTTTTTAATTGTCAACCTGAAAGGGCTGTCATATATAAATGAACACATAAAATATCAAGAGATCAATGCATAGTCAGTCCAGACAAGGCAAAATAAAATAAGGAAAGGATGAAAACTAGCAGGGGGAAAATATGTAGAAGATATTAGTGCTTATGCGACAAGTTACACAAATGAAATGCTTATTAATACATTCATTAGGAGTGATGCCTACAGCACTGTAGGAAATTTGAATTACCAGGTAGCAAATGCCAGCATTTACACACATTTCCTGGAAGGGACCAGTGTTAAGAATTCAGCCACCAGTCCATAAACTTAATGTAATGGAGAGGTGATCTCTTCTTGCCAATTTGCTGTAAATTAATTATATTTTCCTCTATTGTTAGTTCTGGGCTTCAACTCACTTATGTTGCAATGAAGACTGAAATAGATGGCTCAGACCCAAAAAGATTCTCTAGTCTTGCTAAAAAGTATCTCTTTTCAGTTTATAAGCACTAACTGTGGAATGCCTACAAGGATTGGTATGGTTTGTTGTAACCTGATTTTGTACTTCATATGTACCGTTAACAAGTATAGTGACTATTCATCTATGTTAGTGGGCCTTCTTGCAGAAGAGAGCCACAAACTTGATATTTCCAAGCATTCTCAGTCTCTCCCTTATATTGTACTCATATTTTCTTAATCTATTTTTATCATCTTCAGCTGCTTGTTTTCCACCCTTAATTCAAATTATATAATCATAACTAGGACTTTTTTATTCTTTTTATAAAAGAAGTATCTTATACCTCCATAAATAAGGGCTTATATTTTTAAAGTATTACTCTTGCTATCAGTATTCATCATATTATTCATATATCCATATAGAGAGAGCTATATATATGTATACTTATATGTATATATTTATATGAAATGCATACTGGATCAAATACTTCACATCTGTACATAATCATCTGTGTGATTTGGGCCTCTTGGGGAATGTTATTTGTTTTACTTTCTGCCTCAATGCCCAGCACAGGGCCTGGAATAGAATGGAAACTTAAAAATAGAGAAATAGATAAAAACATATAAACTACTAAATGAAAATGGAAGAATCTGAGGTGATTGAAGAGCCAAGTGAAATATTCAAGTACAGGAGAAATATGTAAAGATAGATTTCAACATTGTCCTTTCTTAAATTCAATATCATGGGAAAAACTCAAGGATAATCACTAAAATACATAAAGTAAAATTTAAAAATCTTAAATATGTAGCAAGATTTAAAAATGAAACAAAACAGACAACTGTATAGCCATATGCAGAAGAAAGAAACTAGACCATACCTCTCACTCTGTACAGAAATCAACTGAAAATGAATAAATGGATCAAAACCTTCATGTAAAACCTGAGACAATAAAACTACTGGAAGAAAACGTAGGGGAAATGCTTCAGCACATTGGACTGGGAAAAATTTTTATGAATAAGACTCTCAAAAAACAGGCAACAAAAGCAAAAATAAACTAATGGGCTATATTAAATTTAAAAGATTCTGCACAGCAAACAATCAACAGAGTGAAAAGACAAGCTGTGGAATGGAAGGAAATATTTACAAACTACTCATTTATATATCCAGAATATATAATGAACTAAAATACCTCAAGATAAAAAAAAAATTTTTTTAATGGGCAAATGATCTGAACAGACCTTCCTCAAAGGAAGACATACAAGACTGGGCATGGTGGCTCAAGCCTGTAATTCCAGCACTTTGGGAGGCCGAGGAGGGTGGATCAACTGAGGTCAGGAGTTCAAGACCAGCCTAGCCAACATGGTGAAACCCCGTCTCTACAAAAATACAAAAATTAGCCAGGCATGATGGCAGGTGCCTGTAATCCCAGATACTCGGGAAGCCGAATTGGAAGAATTACTTCAACCCAGGTGGCAGAGGTTGCAATGAGCTGAGATCATGCCATTGCACTCCAGCCTGGCAACAGAGTGAGATTCCATCTCAAAAAAAGAAAGAAAGAGGGAAAGAGAGAAAAAGAGAAAGAAAGAAAGAAAGAAAGAAAGAAAGAAAGAAAGAAAGAAAGAAAGAAAGAAAGAAAGAAAGAAAGAAAGAAAGAAAGAAAGGAAAGAAAGAAAGAAAAGAAAGAAAAGAGAGATAGAGAAGATATACAAATGGCTAACAAATATATGAAAAAATGCTCAATATCACTCATCATTGGGGTAATGGAAATTAAAACCATAAGGAGGTATCATCTCACGCCAGTTAGGATAGCTATTATCAAAATGACAATGAATAATAAATGCTGGTGAGGATAAGGAGAAAAGGAAACTCTTATACACTGTTAGTGGGAATGTAAATTAGTACAGCCACTATGGAGAACAGTATGGAGGTCCCTCAAACAACTACAAATAGAACTACCATATGATCCCACAATCCCACTACTGGGAATTCATCCAAAGGAAAGGAAATCATTATATCGAAGAGACATCTGCACTCCCATGTTTATTGCAGCACTATTCACAATAGCCAAGAGATGGCATCAGCCTAGGTGTCCAACAACAGATGAATGGATAAAGAAAATGTGGTATATATACACCATGGAATACAATTCAGCCATAAAAAAGAATGAAATCCTGTCATTCACAGCAACATGGATTGAACTGGAAGACATTATGTTAAGTGAGATAAGCCAGGAATAGAAAGTTAAACACCACATGTTCTCACTCATATGTGGAAGCTAAAAAAAGTTGATCTCATAGAAGTAAAAAGTAGAACAGAGGATACTAGAGGCTGAGAAGGGTTGGGGGAAGAAATGGATAGGGACACATTTTTTAAAGGATACAAAATTACAGCTAGATAGGAAGAATAAGTTCTAGTGCTCTATACTGTAGGCTAACTATAGTTAACAATAGTATATCATGTACTAGTTTCAAATAGTTAGGAGGATATTCAACAGTCCCAAAACGAAGAAATGATCATTGTGTGAGATGACGGATTTGCTAATTACTCTGATCTGATCACTATACATTCTATGTATCAAAACATCACTATGTATACCATGAGTATGTATGATTATATATCAACTAAATAAATACAAATTTTAAAAATCAAAAAAGTTAAAATGAAAGAAAACAGACAAGAACAAAAAAAAAAATTCAATCCAAAACAAGAAGTATAGAAAAAGTACTAATAGAAAACAATTATAGGCCGGGCGCGGTGGCTCAAGCCTGTAATCCCAGCACTTTGGGAGGCCGAGACGGGCGGATCACGAGGTCAGGAGATCAAGAGACCATCCCGGCTAACACAGTGAAACCCCGTCTCTACTAAAAAATACAAAAAAACTAGCCGGGCGAGGTGGCGGGCGCCTGTAGTCCCAGCTACTCGGGAGGCTGAGGCAGGAGAATGGCATAAACCCGGGAGGCGGAGCTTGCAGTGAGCTGAGATCCGGCCACTGCACACCAGCCTGGGTGACAGAGCAAGACTCCGTCTCAAAAAAAGAAAACAATTATAGTAGTGCCTCAGTACATAACTGCTAAGTGGATGAATGGTGGCAAGAATTAATAAATTATTAGTAAAATTTTGAGCCTTGTCAATTTTAAATGCCCTTTTACTATGCCAGAAATCAATGCATCTATTAGGAACTTCAAGATTTCATCCAACCTGTCTTTTGAATCAAAAGTCATTCTGGATAGATTCAAATGTAAAATCCTTTAAACCACAGGACAGACCTGAAACCTCTATAGATACTTCCCCTACCACTCTACTTCTAACCTTTCTATCTAGCTAATTGACTAGTTAAAGATGAAAATATTTGTCTAGTACAACATGAGAAACATAGCAGATTTTCAGTTCCTGTGGACTGACTGATTTGGGTTATCAGCCACACCAAAAGTCAGATTAAGTCAAATTACAAATTAGTTTCCATTCTGTATTAGCTAAGAGGCTGTTTCAAGCACCTAACACTTAAACAAAAAACAATTTAAATAAATTAAGTACCGTCAAATTTTCTGACACGTGCCACATCTTGACACAAAGTCTACTTGTTTGTGATCTGGGCTGTCAGACTCAGGTGATGTGGAAAGGAATGTTCCCAGGGTTCGACCTAGCTCACACACCAAACTACCTGCCTAAAGTGAAATGAAGTGTGTCTAAGATCTTATCAAGGGTTTTGCACCTTGGAGAAAAAAAAAAAGTCTTTCCTGCGCTCCTTTCCCTTGGGTGAACAGCCCTATTCAAGGATCTGACCAGTGGGGTCTATGTTCCCCAGACAGCCCTCCCAGGCAGAGCCTTTTCTAAGGGTTGTAGTGATGGCACCAAAAATCATGAATGAGGAACTGGTGTGCAATTCACAGCATATGCTGGCAACAGCTGTCTTTTATTACACATTATCTAATATGAGAAATCTAGGTTTAGCAATTTGGCAGGCTTGCAAACTACACATTCAATTATGACTGCTGAATAGACAAAGCTTCTTAACTCCTTTCTAGCCATAATACACTGATACCTAGGGTTGGGCTTACGATCACTCTTCTGTTTTCAGTCAGATGACTTAAAGATCAGGCATTAATATTCAAAATTTAATTTCTTCTGCTCTGCAGTGATTCCACACATTCCTCTTCAGTGGGAAACCAAGACCAATACTTCAGCTGTCAATTTTTGAAAGATAGGAGTAATTGGCAGCTCAGCCAGATAGCCAGCCTTCCTTAGAGAAGCTCAAAATTCAACACTGTAGCCACTCTGGGGCTCCTACAGAGGGTTACTTCCTCTTGGTCCCCACTCTATATACTCATCTCCTGAAAGTGTTGGGGAGGGTGCTGAGGAGAGGCTACTGATTCAAGAGTGAGGTTTTTTGTCACTGGTATTTGTTTCAAAGTCCCCAAAATTATGTGCTCTGCTGCCTTTCCAGTCCCCTGCCTCACTCCCTAATTCTTCCATGCAACTTCCACCCCCTTTTAAGTAAGGAGCGTTAGGATATCAATGCTCCACAGACTGTTCAAAGATGCAACAAAATAATGGAGCTGAAATTAATTGCCTAATGTTAAGTGCCCGGAGAAACCGAAATACAATACTGCCATTTCCAAGTAAGGTCTGACTGTAGGCTCACAGACAGACCTCTTCAAGAAAAATTATTGGGTATTGATCATGCATGCCACAATATGGATTAAAGAATAGTTTTCAAAGGCTTTTGTAGTGAAATTAGCACAGTTTTCTACCTAAAATTGTCATGAAGTGATTAAAATCCTTTGGTGTCGTTCAGGACAATTGGGAGTTACAGCACCTAATGGGTGTGCTGCTGGACACACCGTGAAAGCCGCTGCAGGGCAGAGCCCTGCCCAGCAGTGTACACATCCCAGAGCAGAGCACACATTCCCTATCTGAACTTGTAGATGAAATCAGCATTCCAGCAGTTGCCTATTTAGCAATAATGTGATAACTAAAAGAAAATGAGGAAAAGAGAGTCAGTCTGTGGTACCACTAAAGTTTGTGGACTTGTTTGTCAGGTCCCTGGTTCTCACTATAGCATTCTGTAAAAACTGCTTTCCAAAAGCAACGTACTACAGTTATGAGAGTGGGTGGTAAGACAATCACTACTTCTTTGGCGCCATTGATAGAGGCTGTCCTTAATTCCTCCTGTCTCCTTCCTATCGAGCTTTCCATTGCAAAGATTTTCTTTCTTTTGCCCTAAAACTATGTTCACAAGCAGAAGCCATACTGGGGTGTCTGACACTTCCTACCAGTACAGGTAGTGAGATGACATGCACACAGAGAAATCTATTTTTAAATAATTCTGAATGTAAACACCCAATTGATTCTGAAGACTAATTTGAAACTACAAGCTAACCAGATATAGCTTTGCAGAAACCAAAGCCAACAACAACAAGAAGTATGAGCTGTTGACGTCAGCCCTGAAAGTGTTGAAAATAACAGTAGGCAGAGAAACACCTGCTCATGTGATTGCCTCACAAGGATCTTGTTGCCTGCAATTTAGTCAGTGCCAAATGGGTGATTATTCTCTAAAAACCAGTTAAAGGAAATGAACATCCATTTGGAAGATTGTGAAATGTTGGGATAAACTTGCATCAAGTCTCATTGATGATAATTGTACGGAATCAGAACTATCATGTACAAGAAGTTTTGTTTTGCTATTTTTTAAAGCAATTCTCACAACAGTAAGAAAAAGCTGTTTGGATATGGGGAGTCTACCACATGAAAGAATTTGAGAGAAGGGGAATGAGAAGACCTAGAAAAGATGAGAACATCTGCATAAATTAATTAGTATGGGGATATGTGTGTGCCTGTGCACATATGTGTACATGTACATATGCACATACACACACACACACATGCATTTCATATGCCAAAATCCCTGTCTTTACCTTTTTCTGATAATCAGCCTCTCCTACTGATTGCCTTCTTTCAGTTCATGCTATCTTCACTCTGGCTTAAACCAAATGTGACTCCTCCATCTTCAGTTCCTTTCATATTAAAGCTTTTCAGTCTCCTTTCTGTTCCCCCATTTCTGCTTTCTCCAACAACTGCAAAAGTTCCTCCCTCACCGCTAGTCTCTACTCACTTACTAATCCACCACATTTCTACAATAAGGTTCCTGAAATCTTCTACTTCTCAAACATGTTCAGTGGCCCTCGTGCCGGCTTTTTCAGAAGTTGTCCAAATGTTCTGTAAAGCAGCCCAGCTCTGAGGTCTCCTCTCACCTCCTACACACTAACCAGGTTCTCCTGACACACTTAATATTGTGTTGTTACACAAAAAATCCTCCAGGCACCAGGATCTGTGCCGCAGCTTCAGTTTCTCCCTTGCTCTGGAATACCCTTCAATATCTGGAATATCTATTTCCAAGACTATATATAAAGATGTTTCACTTGGATGAGAGTATTCATGTTGTTTTACTTTGCAGAAAACCCATTCTTTCTGCTTACTGAATTGTAAACAGTATATGGGTAGAAAACATTCCCTTCTCGTCTTTTTGCCTCCTACTCTAGCATGATGTCTGTCTCCTTGTAGGTGCTCAGGAACCATCTGTTGCATTGAATTGCATGGGCTAGAGAGTAGATCAAATGAGTGAGGTTGCGGGTATGGAGGACATAGAGGGTGGAAAGTTCCCACCCTGATTCAAAAAATACCAACTCTCTTCAGGAATAAAAAAAAACAAAAAAACAAAAAAAACATAGCCTAATCAAGTGAACCATAGTTAGTGTGATAGCTTCATGGCAAATATAAAGAAAATCTGCTTTATATCTGAAAACTGAAAAAAGATGTCGGCATTTCTCATGTTGCTTTATCTTCAGACAGGTTGTAGATTGATAAAATGTGCATCACTACATTAAAGTTTGTATCATAAAAGCACTTTGGATTGAGAACGATCAATAATCCAAATCATGGAAAATTATGCCCTTATCTTCATTGTGAAAAATGCCAAGGCATCAGCTATATACATCACTGGAGAAAAGATCGTGTCTCTCCCCCTATGCCATACCTCTCTAATCCTGAATTTAGAAGGCGTAAGAGAAGCACATGATGTACATGCAAGACTTCAGCACAAAAATTCTTGCTCTATGGCAATTTTAAATATTTTCTGTAGAAATGCTATATCGAAATTCAAATATGTACCTGGGGATTTAGAGCAAGTCGTTTTAAAAAATCCTGAAGAGGTATTATGGTTAAAAATATTTTTTTTACATGCTAGAAATTGAAGAACAAAAAATCAAAATAAATTCAGTTAGACATAGATTTTTCCAAATGAGTTTTCATCCCTAGAGACAAACTTTGCAATAAAAATATTAAAATGGCATAATCTGGCAGTTAATAAGCATGCACTGAATGCCAGTCACTGTGTTAGGCACTGCACAGTTCCTTATTTAACCAACATAAGAACCCAATAAGGGTGGTTCTATTATTAACTCCATTTTAGAAAAAAGGAAACTGAAGCTTAGAGAGGCAAGTGGCTTGCTCAAGATCTCACAGTCACTAAGTGGTGAGCTGATATTCAATCTGGCACTCATCTATCCAAAAACAAAAATCTTACTTTCCAATAGCATGAGGTATGTGCCAGTGCCCAAGAGCTGAAGATAATTAGTCAACAAAATTTGTCCTCAAAAAAAGTATTTCTTATTTGATTATGAACTGAAATGACCATCAAGGACTGCAAGTGAGGATGGAAGGGAAAGAATCAAGGGAGACACAATGGGGAAAAGATCATTAATTCTCATACTGGTTGTATCTATATAAACCATCTTCAAGTTTGTTATGCGTAATGATTTTTATTTTATCTGAGCACTTCTCCAAATGAGAAAAGCAAACTATTTTTTGCCTTGAAAAAAAAGTTTGACTGTGGTCTCAAATCTTTGGACTGGTTCACCCAGCTCCCTGAGCATCTCACCTCCTTCGCCCATAATAATCAGCCACTAATTCCAAAGCCTCTAAAATATCACTATTAGTATGAAGTCAGACAAACATATCACTCTGCCCTCAAGAGAACGTGAACACTCTAAAAGGTACAAAATAGCAATCATACCTGCTTTCGTCCCCGAGGTAGAGTAGCCACTGTGTCTGCCAACATTTGAATCCTTCTATTATCGTCCATCGTAAGGCTACCTGTGAGTGTGGAATAAGAGCTATACGCTGGCCCAGCACAGAAGTCCGCCAAATTGCCATTGCTGCTGTGTTGCAGGAGCCTTTGTAAAGACATTGTGAATAAAGATCACTCCAGCTAGCACATGGTTGAGTGGCCTTGCAGGATGGGGGAAGCTAAAAGTACAACTCTGACAAGTAATCAAAAGTAGCAAAGCAGAAAGAGCCCATGTGACCTCTGTGGTTTGAGGAACTTGTTACACAAACCCTATCTTGCAATTCACTCCCATTTCTCAAAGCTTTTTTTCTTTAAGCTCCTGAGAGAATCTGGAGCTAATTTTTACAATTTAAAAAAAAAAAAAAAAAAGCTTATTTTTTCACCTCAAACAGCGGAACTCTTACACTTTTATGTTTTGTGGCAAGTTGCATTCACACCACCATTTGCCATTTTTTTCTTTAGAGAAGAAAGAAAAATGTCCCCAAGTGCTACCATTTGTTTCCCATCCATTCTCTTATTTAACATTAGCAATGCAAGGCAAAAGTCAGCTCACGAGGACATTCAGTTCTTGTGAATACAGGCAAGAATTACAGGTGCCGGTCATAATGTTCTCTCTCGAAGACCTTGTAATGTACTTTCCCTGAAGTATACCCTAGATCATTAATGTTCATCAGAAAGACATTATATCTGCCACTGGCGTTGTAACCATTCAGCATTCTTCTGGTTGTCCTTTTGCTACTTTGTCCTTACTAAAATTACCCATTTACAAAGTACAATGGGAAGGGAAAGTCAGCACATTTAGGGCACAATGTTGCCATTTCTTAGACAAGACTTTGCAGCAGCATCAGAAAGTGGTCCCAGGGGAGGAAAGGAGTGGGCAGGAAGGTAACAGGCAAACCAAGGTGGCGCAAGAATGTTGCCTGTTGGTCCCTGCATGTGCATATGTGTCAAGGGCACCATCATCACGTACTCAAGATCACAGATGCTTTTTTTTTTTTTTTCCTTTGGCTGAGGTTGGGGGCAGGTAGTTTTGAGAGAACTGGTTTCAGTGGAGGAGCAGGGGAGGCAAGTAAAAGGAAGAATCGAAACAAAAGTCAACAAGAGAAGTTTTACATGGTACAAAAAGTCAAATGTGCTTTTTATAATCTCCGAAGGTCAATACTAGCATTTAAAAGAGTTAGCAAATCTTTGAACTAAAATGGAATGTGTGCGTACTGGAAGTGAAGATGGATTCAACTCAAGTAGAAATTGCCAAATATAAATAGTAAAATCTGAATTAATAGTGCTTCAAAAGTTGAAGCCAATTATAGATTTTAAAAACTCTATCATAGCATGACTCATTATACTGGAATTGAATTTTGACATGGACAAAGTGATATCACCAAAAACATACAACAGTCTAAATCGGAAATTAAAAACACATGTTTTCAGAAGCCAGGTGTGTAACATAAATGTGTAAGGCAAAAGGGAGTGGTAAATACCTTGGCAACTGAAGAATACATCAGTTATAAAGACATTCACGTAAAATCTATAATTATAGATATGTACAGATATATATACAGGTATATGTGGGGGGGGTGTGTGTATTAGGAAGAGAGAGAGAGAGATTGATTTTAAAAACATTTCCAGACTATGAGGCACATAAATTAACTCAACACTATTAATGGATGACAGCAGTCCACTGTACCCTAGGAATTTGATAAAGTTAGGTAAATATTTTTAATATTTATTCTTAATATTTTAAAATGCCAAATGGAAATTATACATTTGCTTAATATAAGGCCACGCACTTAGGCCAACTGACTCACCCATTTTTATAAATGACCACTAAAATTGTATCAATTCATTGTTATACTGACCTTAAGCTGATGTAAATCATAGATCATCATTCAATTAAGAAACTGGAAAATAATTTACTTATTACTTAACTCATGAAATGTGTTTAACAAGTAAAATTTTTCAAATCATGGGATCTCTGGATATAAAACAAGGGTCAAAAGCAGCTCTGACATCCAACCAACCCATATCAACATGGTCACACCTGTTAATTACAAATTTATGACCTAGTCTATTTTTATTGGTCAGTTCCCTGTTCTGTCATTGCCTGTGTCATGCCAGTCACTAATATCCTGATCAAAAGTGTCCCTTGTGATAATGGGTGGAGAAACACTTATCTTTTAAGGGGGATGTGACTTCCAAACAACAAATCCTTGACTTACAAAGGTGTTCTACTGTTTAGAACATCTCTTTTGTTTTAGGATTTACCTTAGGAAAATTACAATAGATCAGACTCTCTTCCCCTTCAGCCTCCCCTTTATTTTGGAGAGGTGATTCTGGAAATGAATTGGATCAAGCTATCTAGGTACTCGTAAGATTTCAGGAGTATCTCACTGTTCACAAAATAAAATGAAATAAAAATTATTTTGTATTATCTGATTTCATTCTCTGAAATGTCATATCATTTTTTAGATTCTTATTTTGAGATTTAATATATTCTAGTTAGGTCAGTAGTTAGTTGTATACAAGTCTGTTTCTCTGCTAATGTCTAATTTCCTTGAAAGCAAAGAACACCTTTTATCTTTAAATGTATACTTTATGTCCCACATACAAAAATTGTTCAATAAATGTTAATAAAAAGAGAAAGGTGGAAGCAGTAGATATTAAACAAAATGAACACTGTTAAACAACAGTGTTCTTGGTATTAGTAAGGAAAAAATTAATTAATTTGATAGGAAATGTATGTACTACAAGCTCATATTCCAAAGTGCTACAATTTTCACTAAGGGGTGACCTGAGAGATGAGGACAAAGTCTCTTAAAAATACCTCTCATCTGCCATATGCTCTAAAAGCTAATATTTGTTATGTGGGGCATGCCTCTTATTTGGAACATTGTGTTCATAAATATGCAAATACCCTTGGAAGGAATTAATCTTTAGTACAAATGAGATGAACACTGAGGGCCTACAACATGGAGATTTGGTAGAGTCAGGTGAGAGGAATATGCCTAAAACATGGAACAGGGAAAGAAAGGTGGAGAGGTTTGCAAGACAAACTGAGCCAACCTTATAATCATCTATGAAAATCTTAGGCAGCTGTAAGAGGGTTGACAACAGGGTTCCAGTGTCACACTACTTAGATTCAAATTCTAGCTCTGCTGCTTTAAAGGCTATGGACTGAGTTGTGTCCCCCAAAAATTCATACATTAAAACCCTGAGCTTCAATGTGTCTGTATTTAGAGATAGGGCCTATAAGGAAGTTAAGGAATCATTTAAGGTTAAATGAAGTCATAAGGGTAAGGCTGAGATCTGATAAGATTAGTGCCCTCATAGGAAGAGGTGGCAGAGGGCTCTCTCTCCACCAAATGAGAACACAGCAAGAAGGCAGCCTCCTGCAAGCCAGGAAGAGAGCCCTCACCAGAAATCAAATCTGTCAGCACCTCAGCTTGGGCTTCCCAGCATCTAAAACTGTGAGAAAATAAATTTCTATTGTTTAAAGACACGCAGTCTATGGTATTTGTTATGCTATGGTATTGGTTATGGTGGCTTGAACTAATACACTCCCTAAACTTTAGTGTTCACATATCTAAAACAAAAATTTGCAGGGAAAAATAGACAGAATAGCCCACGAATAGCACATGGTATAAAGTAAGCTATGTCTACTGAATTTTGTTTTAAGTAACAAGGCTTCAAAAGGAAAAGCTAAAAAAGGAAATGACATAAATTCTATATGAATAGCCCTATTCATTACCAAGTGCCTCTATGTGCAGCAAGGATGCCCTTGCTCACCCTGGAGAAATCTAAAGGCTACAATACGTGTGAATTTCTTACCATTGAAAATCAAGATGTGTTTGAAAATCATCATCAGAGCCAATGTCTGAAATTTCTGGATTATTGTAAGACACAAAAGAAGAGTAACTGGTTGCTTAAAGAATGAGACTTCCTCTATGCCTTCCTGATCTTAAGATAGTTGTTGAGTTTTTGTTTGTTTTATTTTTGCAGTTTGCCTTTATTTGCACAAGAAGATTTTATTTGGCTTCCTGGAACATCATAGGATTTTGTTTTGTTTTGGTTTGCTAATTTGTTTTATTTTGGCCTTTTGCCTTCATTTGGAAGGGAAGTTTTTATTTGGGTCTCTGGACTGATGTAGGAGATGGGTTAAAGTCACATAGACAATATTTGAATGTTGTGCCTTTGAATCTATATAAGGTAAATTTAATTTAGTAAAGTTACTCTCATATATGAGGATCCACTGACTGTGAAAACTGCTCTGTCCTATGTATCACCTTATTCGAGTGTTGGAGTTGGGTAGACAGACGTCCTCATCCAACTCAGTGTGGATCACTGGGATTATGAACACTACTCCCCAGAGAGTAATAGCCTTCTTCAGAAAACGATAAACGAAAAATCTGTAACTAGGACAAGCCCTGAAAAACAGGCAGCTTAGGAAAGGAAAATAACAGAAACAAAGGTCATGAAGACCCTATGTTAGAAATCTTAGTGTGATATAAGCCAAATATTGGCTTAGAGTTGTGACATGCATATTTAAAACAGCACAAAGAAAAATTTTAAACCTAATATAAATAATAGCTAGCAATACATCAAATCTATTATGTTTTTAATACAAGTGCAAGGAAACAATTTTCTGATTTATTCAAGTTTAATTCAATCAAATCATGAAGCTATGGGTAGATTGCAATATCATTCAAGGGATTAAGCCACTAAATTCAATTTGGGCTTTAAATAGATTATCTAGATCAGTGTTTCATGAAATAACTCAGTAAGATAATGTCAACATTCTTATAGATGTAAAAGTAGACACATTCATTTGGTGCACTTATCACGTAGAAACATCATTAACTGCATTTTTAAAAATTCCATTTGCTTCTTTATTTCAGGTTTAGGGGGAGTACCTTGAGCATGTTGGGCATATGGCAGGGACGGCTCCATGTTGAAGGGTCCATGCTGAAGGTACACAGTAGTACTGGGGCCTCTTGGAAGCAGTCAGGATGTGCGTGGGATTTAAAAGGCAGCTTCTCCTGTGGACTTATCCATATATCTATACAAAATGCTCTGTGAATGCATCAGGGTTGTTTTGAGTCTTAAGAGGTAGTCTATGCAATGATTTTAAAACTGTACTCATGAAAATGTAAGATCCTTTGAATGTCCTGGGAAAAAAAGGAAGAAGAGGAAAAAG